GCATTGTCTACAAACTGCAGTAGATAAATGTGCAGAGTGAACCTTTAAAAGTCTTATTGATTTATGTGTTTAAGGAAATATATAATTATTCGTATTGTTGCCAGTATATAATTAGCAAATGTAGAGATCATTATTAGACGACCCAAGTGGCAAACAGCGTAGAGTATTTACTTCATAGGTTACATCCAACATTTTTACCATCCGGATTGCAGTCAGACGTGCTTTGTAACACGAATCTTGGTGACAGGTGCCTTAACGCGCGCGCGAAATACATGTGTTTAATTTTATAGTTAAATTTTGATTGATACGTCCTGACTTCTGGTATTTTAAATCCTTGAAAATGAACGCAATCCGGTGATCGAAACGTTGGATGTAAGCTATTAAAGAAATAATTTACACCATCTGCCACTTGGGTAGTTGGTCGTCTAATAATCCTCTCCCCTACACTTTATAATTATTTTCTCCGTTTAAATAGGTGTGTGAGATATTGTTTGCTTCAAACGAATAAAAATTCATGAACTGAATTTCCATTTATTTAATTTAAATTAAAATTTTTCCCATTTGACATCAATATCTATGTTATTTTCTCTTACCACCCTCCTTAAACAAAATGTATTTAATTGTTTCATCTTTAAGTTTTATTATGTCAATCTGTTGGTTTACTACATGTATGTATGTACATATATCTGGCTTTTCTTTTTGGGACTTATTGTAGTTGTAGACATTTTCAAAAACTGTTGTGATGCCTTCCTTTAGTAGTCGTGACATCTTCCCATCACTAATGGATTTATTATGATCCCTTCTTTCGTTCCCACTTTCATTGATTTCATGTTCCACGACTTTTCTGGATTCCGTCTTTGTGAAGGATAATCTTGAAAAGTCTTGAAAGAATGACTGTGTGTAGGACATATCATTTAGATACTTAACAATTTGACGAATTTTGATATTTTTCTCGTCATCGTCATATATCTGTTCGTCTTGAACACTTTTGCAGCTCTTCAGTTTCGTGGAATAACTCTGGGATACTTCAGATTGAGCATTTGGATTGTTGGCATATTGTTTCTTGATCTCGACATCGCAAGAATCTGACGCCATTAGATTCGTCTTATATTTTCAATAATTACATATGTTACTATACTGCGTCGCAAACCGAACGACTTTATCTTATTGTTAGTTATAGACCGATTTTTTCGCATTATGGAAGTTATACTTTATATAACCAATGATGTTATATAAAGTGCAATCTGCCTTTGATCTGCAATGTAAATTGCGAGTTATCTTAAATGTGACGTAACATACGCAATAACATATTTCAAAATAGGGTCAAGGTGAACTAACCCGCTATGTAATCCAGACATCGTTTTAAATCAGCTCTTCCCACAGAGCGGAAAAGATCACACTTTCTGCAGAAAGAGATCTGATTTTTTTTTACTTATTAAAAGGAATTGGAGAAGGCACCATATTTATGAAATAAACAGCTTTACAGTATAATATGGTAAATATTTAGATTAGGTCAGCCACCCGCAAATAACCTTGACCTTGACATATTTTGTCAAGGTCTCCACCTCAGCTTTATAACCGTCCCTTCATAATCAATAGATCAAACCTTTCCCAAACCGTGTAAGGTGTGGAGTGGATCTATCTTCACGTGGAAAGTCGAAAGTATTAATCACACAGACTTTTGCCATTAGGATTTTCGATAGAACTCTGCGGGGGCTACCGGGAACTCTCAACAGAACTGCCGGAACTGTGCAAAAATTTTTTCGGGTCTTATAAGACGACCCGTTTCTGTCTTATAAGACCCGAAAAAATTTTTGCACAGTTCCGGCAGTTCTGTTGAGAGTTCCCGGTAGCCCCCGCAGAGTTCTATCGAAAATCCTAATGGCA